ACAGAGCAAGATATCCATTTCCAGTTTTTAAAAAAATCAATCCAGGGGCAACATGATGGTAAACCAAGAGCTCCATATCAAAGCATACCAAATCTTGTGCAAATTATATAATGTTCCTAGCCTCTGCTTTGTGACCTTAAGGTGGAACAGGGGTACCTCCTAAGGGTATGAGGATGAAATAAGTTACATGAAGTACAACTTGGGGGGAAATGGGAGAAGGGACACAATTATGTGCTCAGCAGTACCCAGGTAAGAATGGTAAGTTGCCTTCCTTAAATTCCAGAGGAGAGGGAGAAGGACAACTCTGGAGCCCTCTTCTGGCTTTAACACCTCAAATCCTCCTGCAGTCACCTCCTAGAGAGGGGCCTGAACAGCAAATATTTCAAGTAATTCACCTCGAATCGCTTTTCCTTGTGTGACTGGGAAGAAGCAGTCAAAAATTTTGAGTCTAAACAACAGATACAGCACATGGATTCCAGGTGCCATAAATCTACCAAGTGACAGTGATCTAACCAGGAGGACACACAGTTCATTACAAGTAACTCACCTACCATCCCCACCACAGGCCAAACAGCCATTCAAAGAGGCAGGGGCGGGGGGGGGGGGGCAAAAGCCTTCCTTGCAGGAGGCTGGGCATGGGAGGGTTGCCTGCTGTTGGATCGGTTGATTCTCTCCTTCTTAATAGTATGGGGCAGGGTAGAGTCGAGGCAGGGTTGGATTCTGGTGGCAGGCCCTACACATTTGTAAGCTTCATGAGCCACCAGGCACTATTCTGGATCTGTCAGTAACAAACCATGTAATTTTGGTCACATTTTTTAAACCCTCTAGGCTTTCATTTCATTTTTAACTGGTAAATAGTACCAGGTCACTTCCAAATCTCTAATCAACCTATGATTCTCTAACTCATGTGTTTTTCTAAACGTCCAAGTTAACCTTCTTCTAATTCAGTCCATGACATCTTGTTCTGCTGTCTTTAGAATCCTGTGCCCTCATTTGCAAGGTGTCATGTTACACAGCACAGTAACCAGGTGACTGATGAGCCAGAGGGAACCATCATCTATCTGCCAATGTCAGACTTGAATAAGAACCGGGCTCATTTCTCCCACTCTGTATTTCAGAAATATTAACATGCCACCTTTGGTTTGTCTATTCATTGATTTACTAAGATTCATCTATTCAACAAGCAAGTATTAGCTGTTGTCTTGACCAGGCACTGTACTGGGTATCCCAGAAATCAAGGTTTCTGAGGTGCTGCCCTCACGGTGCTCACAGTCAAAAGAAACTGCAGACACTACATGCAGATCACCCATCATGGAGCACATGAGGGAAGGCAGAGCATGCATCGGAAGAGGCAGGCAGCCAGGAGACAAAGAAGACATGTGCAACAGGAGATAATTGGAGGAGTGAGGTCGGGGATGAGGGACAGATGGAGGTGGAGCTGAAAGAAAATAGTGTTCCCTGCAATCTTAGGGAAAAAATCCCTAAAGGTGACCCATTTCCAGCACAGAAAGAACCCTTTGATAGTTTGAGTTTTCTAGGTGTTTGGCTTTGGAAGAAGTCAGAGTGAACGCTTTATTTAACATTTTAACACCTGCCCACCCACCGAGACACCACCTTCTTCTGCCCTGAACGGGCAGCATCTCTCTCATCTTTGCTTTGATGCTCCCTGGTTTCTGCTGCCCAAATTCGTCTCATGTGGGTATGAGGGGTGGGAGTGGGGAAGTGGGGTGAGTGGAAACTGGACATGGTTTAAGTGGAAAGTATGCACAAGAGTAAAATCATTTATATACAGGCATCTTCGCTGGGAGAAACTGTTCCTCTATCCCTCAGACTAAGACTGGAGCACAACTCATTTTTTTTGCTTTTCCATTCCAATTAGCTGCACATTTTTAGTACGTGTTACATAAGGCTCATCTGCCCAAATTCGTTGGCTTGGGGCCTTTCTTTCATTTCACTGGTTGACTGACCCGCGTGGTGGGATGACGAGGAGATCATGGCACATCTGTAAATAGCCTGCCCGAGGAGAGGTGGACGGAAAGAGCTCTCAAGATGAAGTGAGGGTTTGTATTTGGTGTGCCAGAGCTAAATCCAGCCCTTCTAAAAGAGGAAAGCGGAGAGAATGCACAATTCCAAATCAAACTGCCGCATGTGGATAAGGCTGCTCCGCCTACGACAAGCACACAGGGACAGAAGCACAGCTCAGACAGGTGCAGCACAGTGCTGACGGCAAAGCCTCCATTCCACAGAGGTGGCCAGCCCTGAGTGCAAAATGCTCCTGGGTCTCCATCGGCTGCAGAATCATCTAGTTCTGGGTGTGCATGTATTCTATGCATGAGCTGCAAGCCTTTCTAGGAAAAAATAGGCATTTGTTTTGGTGAGAATCAGGAATACACATGGAGGAGGACACTTTGCCCCAGCCGCTCTCCATCATCGGCTTTTGCCCTTCTAGGAAGCATCTGCCCTCTCTCAGGATCTTCAGCCTTGTGCTAAAAATATCTACCATCACTTCATACACAGAGCTAGGGAGGATGAAAATGAAACAAGGAATGTGTCAAGGAAAGTATACCATTATAATTGTGTAAAGCACGACTGTTAGGAATCTGAACTGTACCCATGATCACAAACCCCCAAGTCAAAGTTGCAATGGTCATTATGTCTAGGCCACCTCTTTCAGGAGTCACACTACTTCATGAGTTACTTAGAAAATAGAGACTAACAGGGCAGTCAAGGAATTTAATGCTAGGGGTACCATCTTACAGCCTAAAGGACAGCCAGAGACCTGTTCCCACAAGTATTCATCAGTACCACTTGGGACCCCTCCTTCACGGCCTCTTAGCTTGTGCAGGTTATGTAAGGGGCAGGTAATAGAGAGGAACAAACCTTCCTGAAGCCTCAATGTCTCCAGGACCATCTGAAGTCACTATGGAAAAGTCCTTCTAAAGTAAATGAAACATAAAGCTATATTTTTCCCCAGCATACATCAACAGTTTGCAATTTTGTGTTTATCTATTTAATAAGATGATTAACACTCAAATCCATTGCTAGACTGAGAACCAGCTCTATGGGCAAGATCTGACATCTTGCTGATCAGTAGCTCTGCAGATGAAATCCTGCAGCACCCTTGGGCTGGAGCCACAGGGCTGAGTCCCACATGCCAGGCAGTACACACGTGGGGCAGCAGGTATGAACCAGGGTGCTGGTGACAGTAACCGTGCTCAAGGGTCAGACAGATCTGGATCTCTAAGTCTTTCCTATGTGACCTTGAGGGAGATAACTATTCTGTTCATGCAACTGTATAAAATGTGCTGCTTCATAAGTAGGTTGTATTAAATTAGATGATATATATAGAAGTGCTTAGTGCAGAGCCTGACTCAGTGAGGGAGAAGTTTCCTTTCTTTCTATAGCCTTCAATTTCAGGGAAATCTAAGTAAATCTGTTAATTCACAAATTAACTCAATCTCCTTTTTCCTCCAAACACCTCCATGTATATATACATATACTCTATATCTTTCGTTATCCCCGTGTACTACTTTTTAGCCCAAACTGCCAAAGTCGAATTCTATTTCTAGAAATACTATTTGCTGCCTCTGGCCTGCATGAGTGTCTGTCTGTCTGTCTGTCTGTCTGAAGATTTCCAGCTGTGGCTACCCAGTTCACTTATTTAACCAAGACAAGAGACATCATAGTAAAAAGAAAAGAAGAAAAAGCACTGGCTTACAAATCCTTCTGAAAATTTCAGCCTCTGTCTTCAAATGGAGAGAACATCTACTGTCTCCCTCATATTTTGCTTTATGATCAAATAAAAGTATCAGCATGAGAGAGCCATGTCATCCGCCAATTTTGCATAAGCACAAGGCTCCCTCCTCTTCATCAACATCAACGCCACCACCACCATCACAGAAACTGCCACCATCACCATGACAGCTAACACTATCAACATCATCACGATGACTGCCATCATAATCACCATCCTAACTCTCCTACCACCATAAAGATTGCTGTTACTGGTACCATCAAAATCATCACAATGACTGCCATCATCCACTACTTCCGTCATCATTGATACCCCTATCACCACTACCACTACTGCTACTATCATGATAAAGGATGCTTAACATGTGGGCACTCACATAAATTACTGATTTTAGTAGCTTCTCCTAACTTGTGCAATGAGACATTATGATGGTCCTGTCTTTGAAAAAAGTGGTTATGTATGGTGATTGCCTTGAATCCCAAATCGTGGATTTCTCCTCCCACCGCCAACTCCCGTCCCTACAACACTGATCAGGGCCCTGAAGGAGAGAATTCAAATTTTGCCAACTAAGTTTCCATGCATATCACTGCAAGCCTTAGTGGTCAGCTGCTGAGCAGCAGACTGAAAATTCATGCCTGCCGATCTTGTCATTTCTCAGAATTGTTGAGTCATTTGTACTGCACAAATCTCTCAGATACAAGTCTCCAGTTTGCTGGGATGTGGAAGAAACTGGAATAATATTCTTCTAGAAACTCCCAACCAAAAGTTGATGGTATATATGCAGATATGCAAATGTCACAAAGAAAGCCACCCTTTTGTTCAGTTAGTATGTATTATAACAAAAAAATCACAAAAATGATGGCACTGAAGCTTCCAATAGAAGCTTTCAATATGCATCATAGAATTCGCCCACTCTGCTTTTCAACACCTACATTACCCTTGCCTCCCCACTGAGCCCTACAGCCCCGGGGTATCCTCCTGTCTGCTCATGTAAGGCCACGCCCAGCTCCCATGTCCAGTTTCCACGGATGACTGAGAGCAGCCTTCTCTCAATAACACTATAAACCTAGTTCACAAGAAGAGTAACCTCAGACTTCAGCATAAACAACCTGCAGCCCATGGGTTGGTCACGCCTGACTTGTCTGGGCTGTACTGAATGAGGAGAAAGACTGCATGTAAAATATATAACAGAGTTAATGTATATAAGGAACAAAACTTGCTTATTCTTAATTTTTTTTATTGTAACAGGTTTGTCCCACCCCCAGGCCACAAGTTGAAAATACCTGGCTCTAAATGAACCTTGTCTGCCTGGGAGCTGCTTGAGTTCATGTTCCAGAACTCTCCCCTGGGTTCACTGCTCAGCTGGGTGAGTCTCAGGTACACAGCAAAAACTTGCTGATCTAACTCATGATAAAAATGCAGAATACTTAGAAAGGTCAAGAGAAGTAAGTGTCAAGGTGATTTCCTTGCTCATAGTAGGATCCCAAGAAAGAAAAGGGAACCTGTAATGCAAATCAGAGATTGCAGGAATGAAAAAAAGATACCTTAAAGAACAATTTTCAAGATCTGGCTGCCCAATATGGGCCTTGCTATCTCCTTCCCTATTTCAAGTCTTCAGTGACTGGCCCTGAAGGCAGGCTGGGCACCTTTAAATACCCATCCCACTCTGCTCAGCATTTTCTGCTCCGGCCCCCTTTAGTGTTCTTGATTTTCCCTCCATGCCTACCCAGGAGCTCTGGCTGCTCAGCTCCTCCTGGCACGTAGCCTCAGGCTGATCCCTGGGTCCTTTGTACTCACAGCTATCTACCTCTCCACTGTAGGACCTAGAGCTCTGCTGGGTTTTGCACAGCCCTGGTCTGGCTTTGAGAACCTCGGCATAATCTCTGCCTCTACTCACATTGTGCATTCAATCTGACTTCTCTTAGGAACTCACTTCTGTGCAACTCTTGGCTTGCCCTAGTGTAGACTGAAACACTGAACGCTGTGTGGGCCAGTGACTAAACAGTGGTCTTGCTAACATTTCCTGAGACTATTCTATCTGCCAAACATGCATGTGCAACATTTTATGTGTGTCAATCCTTTTAAGCATCACAACAGTCAGAAGAGGGAAAAGAATGGGTCTTATATTTTTCCTTAGTGAATTAACTAACTGTTGTAAGTTCCGCTGCAGGAAGTGGCAGAGTTGGATTCAGTCTGTCACAAGGCCTCCATATCCAACCTGTGCATCACACTGATTCCAAAGAATACCTCAGTGAGGGCAGAACACTTCTTTCAATCCATTCCAACATCTACTATTTTCTTAACATCCCCTCTACTTTCTGTTATTCATTTTTTCATCTTTCTGGTAATGACAGTCAAAGATGAGGGCAAAAGGATTGTTGTTGTTTTTTTTTTTTTTTTTTCATCTGGCAGCTAACATCATCCCAAACAAAAACAATCATTTTACTTTGAGCAAGGATCAAGGAAGAAATTTCTTTGCACCTGAAGAGTCAGGCCAAGAGTGAACGTGATTCTAATGCCCACTCCCCACCCACCAGGAAGAGTCCAGTGAAAGTTCCTGACACACTTAAACCACGGAAGAAAAGAAATGTGGCTCACTGGGTTGGATCCATTTGGTAACTGGAAATCAAGGCTGCTGGAAGAAGTGCTCTCTGCCTCTCTAAATACCTGAAGGAGTCTAGAATGCAGCGACAATAAATGTTGATTTATTCACATCTTTTCTCTGAAAGCTTCCAGTAATCACCTCTCTCCCCAGTGCCAGTCACACCCAGGAACAGTCAGCTCTGGTCAGCATGGTCCCCCACATTCCTATTGCATTCCAAGCTCCTTGGGCCACTTCATCTCTGTTTTCTAAACTCTCCCTGGCTGACACTTCCCCCAGCTCACAGAAATCCATTCTGCAAGGCCAGCCAGGGCTTCCCACTCCACAGAGCCTCTGTGAGTGGAATCGCATGGCTCATACCTCTGTAGCCACCACATCACTTAAAACAGGGCTGAGCACAGAGTACAGGTCACAAATACACTTGGCCCGCGGAGCATCCCTGGGCTCCGCTCTATCTCAAAGGCTTGTTACAAAAATGACAATGGCAGGCCAGCCAGTATGATACATCCTGTTGCCCTTATGGCACACCTTCCCTGCAGGAGGAAGAATTTCAGCCCCAGACCCCACTCTAAGCTTTAGGGAGCTGGGCTCTGGATTCTCCGCATGGGCACAGCCCTCGGTACACCAACACTTTTTGGCAGTGCTTCCCAAATCATCTTCCTAGCTTCAGCTCTGGAAGCTGTCAAACCTCAAGAGGAGGTGATATGTCACAGTATTAGCCCAGGAGGCCAGCGACCTATAATCTTACATTCTCCAGAAGATTCCAGCATGATGGTTCTCCTACAGGGGCTTTCTGTCCGGTTGTCCACTCACACCTCTGGGTATTTCTCCCATAAAAATAAACAGTCATGTGGAGAAGATTCAAAATTCACCATTTTCCTCCCCTCCATAAGAAGCACAAAGGCTCAATTTCTGTTTCTTTATCCTTTCTGCTTTACTGAAGGTCTGTGGTGTTTCTCCCCTCTTATATCCTGAAGAATCATTGAGCCCTGTAAACCTTGGGAGATCAAAACCTGATCTTCTGTGCACTTATTTCCAACAGTGAAGACGTGAAAGGTGCCCCCTCCAGGTACAAGGATTTCGCCTAACACTGGAGCTGTGTAAAGAGAAGTTTGGCAGTGCTTAGGTGCCAGAGCACATCCCCAGCCCCAATAAGACCCACATGCTAGCACCAGCCTCAATTCTATGATAATCTCCAGGCAACCAAAAGCCAGCTGCTTAGCAACAGCAGCTGGAAAATCAGCTGCATGTCTCTGTTAGTGCTCTGCTCTGGCCGCCTGGTAAGTACAGGCTGGGGAGGGAGGTACCTTGGGCAGCCACTGCCAGGTACAGCCTCGGCCTTCTGGGCTTAGGTGGGAGCAGCCCAGGAGGAAAGGCTTAGTGAAGATGGCCAGTAGAAGACAGATTATGCAAAAGCTAAAGGAGAAATTCACAGCAGTTACTGGTTGTAATTGCAAGGATGACAGCTAAGCCCCTGTATGGGGTGTCCAAGGCATTTGCCTCTCGCTGTGGTTGTTTCCTCCTGCTGTGGATGCTTTGCCCTTGAAGATATAAGGGGTTTGGCTTTAAAAGCCCTTCAATGAGCATCTCAGCCAATCAGCCAGTCATCTGCATTCACAGGTTCTATATCCAACCGATTGCAAACCGAAAGTATCAAAAAAGAATTGTACCTGTACTAAATATACAAAGAATTTTGTCACTGTTCCCTAAACAACAGAGTACAACAACTATCTATATAGCATCCATGTTATATTAGTATTATAAGCAACCACGAGATGATTTAAAGTATATGAGAGGAGATGTATAGATTACATGCAAATATCGCACTGTTGTATACAAAGGATTCCACATCCACAGATCTTGGTGTCTACAGGGGAAGACGGGGTCCTGGAGCCAATCCCCAGTGGATATGAGCCGTGACTGCACAAAATATTTTGGAGCCTCTAGAGCAGCTCTTTTCCACTGAGCCACACTAAGTACAACAGACATGCTAATAAGGGATTTCGAAATCACTAGTGGAGTTTTATGGAACTCAAGTTTTTCCAGATACTGTAAGGGAAAGAAACAAAAACACAGTATCAGACAGGGTGTGGTGATTTTGGCCCTAGACCAGAGATCAGGCTCTATTATTACCCATTTCTGGGACCTGAGAAGAGAGCTTCCAGTGCCTCTTCTATACCAAGGGACAGAGGCACCTACCAGGTCCCCCCAGCGCTGTTATACAGGGCACATGAGAAAATGTGTATCTAGGGGAGCATCTGCCTCTCTACAGGGCTGCAGTATTAACATGATACATCAAAGTACCTCCCTGAAAAAGGTGCCAAAGTGGATGAAGAGAGACACCGGGGCATGATATTATGAAGCCATAGCTGCTGCATGGCAAAGGCTGCTCGGGTGCGGGGAAAGCTAGCAAGATGTTTATTGACCTTTCGCTTGAAAGCTGGACAGGAGAAAGTATAAGAAAAGCAATTCTTGCTAAACTAGAGGGCTCCTTGGAGACAGCACCCTTACAGTAGCTCTTAACTGGCCTGTGTCCTGAGCCAATTCTATGGATTTTAATTATCCCAGGCTACAGCCATCCCCCAGAGTCACAGATAACCTTAAATTGATGTCAACAGACAGACACTCCTGCCATCTCCATCGATGATCTTTCAACTTGACCTCCCAGAGGAACAGATGCTTATTAGCAACCACATTTGCACCAGGAAGTACACCGAAGAAAATACAGTCCCTGGAGGAAGAATACTCTTATGCAAAAAGGGCTTGTTTTCATGATCACAGGGCAACTGCCCACCTGTAATCTCAGCTGAATTTCAGTTAATCTTCCTCATAAAAGGAAGTACATGGAGATATACTGCTTATAATTCTACCCCCACCACTAAATATCACCAACAACCAGAAACCAGTTAAATGTCTTCATTATCATACATACAAATTAATTCAATCTAAGGAAATAAATATATATCGAACCCTTTCCCTAAACCAGCAGGCTTCACACCAGGAAGAGATAACGAAATGAAGTCAATATTGTGTCTCCTCTAAAAAATCACCCTGAAGGGTTTCAGCTAGTGTCCTCTGCCTGTGTCCCATACTGGCACATGTAGAGAACCAAATCAGCTAGCAGAGTAGCCCAAAACCACAGACAAAAGCTCGGGGCTCTGATCTCTGGCCACCTTGCCTGTTTACCTCACTTTACCACTTGCTAGCTGGGCAGCCTTGGAGTATTGAGCCAACTTCTCAGTGGCTGAGTTTTCTAGTCCAAAAACTGGGTATACAGTAATCAATAACTCATTGGGCTATTGAGGTATGAACAAGCTAATACAAACAAAACCTGTATGACAGTACCTAGCACATAGTGTTCAATTAAAGTCAACTAGTATTGCTTTTTTCTGTTCCTTTTAGGAGAACTTTATTAAATCTTTATGTATGCATCTTTATTTCCCACAAATCTAACTCTAATCCTAAATCAGAACTGATCCCATGTGTGCCATGATAAGAGTCCCAAGGTGACATCCTGTGCTTTTCTCCAACTCCACTCTACAGCCACAGAAGGCTTGGATTTTAAAGGTATTTTGTGACAGCGATCTGTGACCTTGTGGGCCACCTTCCTTTCTTCTCCACACCCCTTTCCTACCTCACATTTTCTCCATGTCCTCTAAAGCCAAAGCCAAACAGCTTTGAGAACCTGCAGTAACAGGGATGGAACAAGAAGCAAAAGCTCTTTAGGAAGAGGAGAGGGAGCTGTCTCCAAATTCAAGTTACAGATGTGATATAAACACACGCACTGTGCTGGTCAGAAGAAAACCTGGAGGCGGGGGTTAGAGGGCAGAAGGTGAACACCTTCACCCACCCTGGCTGTCTGGGGTCTAAAGTGAAACCAAACTATCTCCACACAACAACCTTGCCTTATCAACCCCTCATGGGCTGGCCTCTGGCTTGAACCCTTTCTGGAGTGCTGCCCCACCCAGCTAGGCTACCCTGGCCACTGCCATCTCCTGCCAGTTTTCCCAGGCTGCCTCTAGAGTAGCTGACACATTAGCTAATTGGGTCCACACACCAACCAGCTTCAGCCTACCATGACTCTGCTTCACTCTGCTGGCACAACCCCTTGGCCTGAAGCTGTGCTATCTTTGGATAATGTACATATGTTAAATTATTTTCATCACAAATACAATAAGAGATCATTTTTAAAAATCTGGCAAATTATGTACAGGAGAAAAATAATTCAACACTCTACCCAAAAGCAACAATATTAGTGTTTTGAGCTATTTCTGAGGGCAGGGCCCTGGATGGCGGGATCACGCCATGACCTAGTTTAGCTCCACTTCTCAGTTCTCAGTTCCTACTGAGAAGGATACTCCCTGAGGACAGGCTTTGTTTGACAGCAGGCCTTGCAACTTCTGCAACCTTCTAGGTACCACAGTTCCTCCTAGTAGGACACAGACTAGCGACAGTCACGGAAGTCCTGCTCTTCTCCCTCTCCTCCCCGACTCCCTGCCAAGCTCAGCCCCTTGCAGGCTCCTAAGCCTCACACCCAGCCTTCAGGGGCCACCACAGAGGACTCCAGCCTGCAACCCCTCCCTATATGCACCTTGTACTTCCGGCTGGTGGTCAGATGGGTTTACTACACACAACCATGAGAGCTTTGGGGATCTGGGTTGAATGTGAATGCTCTGGCTTTAAAGTAACTATAGAAACCTACAAATGATTTATATGATAGCTTTTCCCCCTCCAACTGCATTTATTGTCTGAACTCTATCATCCAGGCCTACGTGGCTACACATACGGGTCTTTATAAAAGAGATGCTGCTCCCTCTGCCTGGGCTGTCTAACACTTTTGGGGGGTTCTGGATTCTGTTCTCCTTGCAAAATGTTGAGTTGACTAATAGAGACTCAATCTCAAACATGTACTGCTGTTAACACTGCTTGGTACAATGATCAGAGTTCAGCTAAAAATAAACAACTGAGTTTAAATTTTGGGAAAGAGTGAACATAAAGTCCTATTCCAGACTAGACCAGAGACAAAGCTGAAGCCCACGTTGCACATGCCCCCTTGGGCAGGCAAAAAAATGCAGCACCTGTCCCTTCTCCACACACACAGGAAATTTTA